TTACATAATATTTCAGCATCTATTCTTTTGTACTACAGAGGCCTCTCCCCTCCCACCTTTATTGTGGTCTTTCTAGGTCACAGTTCTCTCAGGAACATAGCAGAAATAGCAGGTGAAAGTAAGATGCCCTGGAACACAGATGGGATCAGATTCTACCTGATCAGAACAATAAAGGGAGGATCGTTAAGCTACATTTGCTAAGAACTGGTTGCAAATCCGAACCATAAATCATATGTTCAGGACTGGGTTTTGATAGCGGTGTTGATTAAATGGTTAGAGGTAAATTAAACAACAGCAGCAACCTTTATCTTGGGGGCCTGTGACAGACCATTGAAGAAAGACAGATGCAGTCTTGTAGTTCTTTGTGGGATGAGTGCATGACCTAGAGAATGGCTACCTACTAGCAATGAGAGCTAGGGAATAGCACAAGGACAACACTTCTGGAAACATTTCCTGCATGCAGTAGATGTTCATTTCCAAAGCAGATGCTAGGCAGAAACAAACACGGTGTGACTAAAGCGAGTACACAATAGAACGGATTGCTTTCTATGCTTCTTTGTAGTGCTAGCTAATTTACCCAGCAATAAAGCAGATCCTAGCCAGTGGCAAATGTATACCCCCAAGTAGCAATTATGGTAACCAATTTATAGTATGCTTACCTGTTTTAGTAACACCTTTCATTAGATTTTTATCACAATGTGAATTTTGATTTTTGTATTGTAATTTTGCTATGTGTGTGTAAGATACCCGGTCTGACATCTTAAATATTTCATTTCGGATTATCCCTGAAGACTTGTTCAGCCTCATGGGTCCGCTGCAAGGAGTTAATGGAGTAGGTGCTGAAGGCTGCAGTGCAGCATCAGCATTCTTCATTCTTTGAACTGAGTCTGCTGAGATGGCATTGACACTGTCTGAATTTATGTGTGGCCTTTGCTCTCTTAGCAAATCATTCTAACTCTCTTGGGGAAGAGAATGTAACTAAGACACACCAGAGCTGCTACTGATTGTCATTCCACTTAAGGAGCATTTATGCACTGGAGTAACTAAAGGCCAAATTATATTATGTGGATGACTGCAAAATCCCATTTATTGATTGAAGAAGATAGATTAATCCTTTGCTGGCTAAGAGTTTTTTCATCAAATAAAGTAGACCACCTAACTTAATCTTCACTCTTGTCATTGACCTTTCTCTTGTAAATTATTATTCAATTTCCCATTTGGGGAAGATAAGTGAATAAAATATCCTTCTATTGGACTTGTTATTTAGTACTTCTTTGTTTTGATCTCTGAGAGGATTAGGGATTTATGTGTTATTCCTCATTTGTTTCCAAAAGGGTTTTAGGTGGTTTACAGATTAGAATATACGAAGTAAGACATGTAAAGATGAAACAGAAAAAGTAAATGTTACCAAGCAGCTGGGATGAACCAGTGAATGCAACCAGAGAATAAATTTAGGCCTTAAGGGCTTTGATATATGTAGTGGAAAGGGAAGCACGGATTATATAATTTATATTTTTTGACAAAGGAAATCTTACAGTTATCTATAGAGATAATTTTGTGTGTGTGTGAAATACTCAAATATGATTTTTATCATGTGAATCCTTCTGTTAAGAACAGTGAGTTTCCTAGTTGAAAACATCTTTTTTTTTTCCTCCCCAAAGCCCCAGTACATAGTTGTATATTCTGGTTGTAAGTCCTTGAAGTTCTTCTATATGAGCCACCGCCACAGCGTAGCTAGACAGACAGGTGGTGTGATTCTGCACCCGGAAACTGAACCCAGGCCACCAAAGCAGAGTGCACCAAACTTTAACCACTAGGCCATCAAGGCTGGCCCGACAATATCTTTAATTGCTATACTTCAAAAGGCTCAGTCTCTACTGCCCCATACTGCCTATTGATGCTGACGCTCCATCTGTGTAGGCACCTGCCCAGGGAGGCTGAGAGCCTGTGGCCCAGATACTTAGCTTTATGATGTTCTAATTGTGTGTGATGGAACTTGGCCGTGAGTCACAGATCAATGACTAGTTAATGTGTCCACTGGACTGCCTTTCTCAAAGATCAGATGTTTTGAACAAGGTTTTGGCAGGTACTGGGCCACATTCGGAACTCAATAAAGTCACGCGAGAGGTTACTTTATTTAAGATATTTTAATTTTTGGTTAAAGTGAGAGCAAAGTTGTTAGATAGTTGAAGTACTAAACCTGTTGGTGGAAAAATAAGTCTGACCTGTTGGTCAGACTTATGTTCTGCCTAAATAAGAGGCAACATGGTGTAACACATGCATCAGCAAACAGCGTCGTAGATGAACATTATCTGGAGATCCCCTTTCTAAGTTAAATTCAATCCAGCAAATATTAAAGAGCTTCTTCTATGAGCTGGACCTCGAGGTTCAGGCTCGAGTAACCTGCTGTCCTTACTCTACTAATTTGTTTAGGCCCCAGAGTGCTAAACCATACAATGCAGTCTCTCCCTTAATTCCCCAAAGCACAACTGAGTCTAGGCTATAATGCCAAACAGGACTTTACTAAAAACTTAGGGAGTGACGAAGAGAGTTCAAAGCAGAAAGGCAAAGCTGAAGGACTGGTTCTGGACAACACTGTCCCCAAAGTCCATAGGCTATGACCCCTTCCTCAGGGTACCTCTGCGATACCACCCTCCTGAGCCCCCAGAGGCCACTGTGTTGCACAGTCTCTCTTAGTTCTCACCAGTGGGAACCCCTTTTACTATGT